GTCATAACTCCACTACAAAGAAATAACTACTATTAGTCTTATATTTCTTTCCTATCTTTATATGCATATATATTTAATATATCTGAGACTGCAGTTAGATGTACAATTTGGAATCCTTCCTTTTCCAAATAGTATTATATTATAAAAATTGTTTCATGTCATTAAAAAATTCTTCTTAATTGTCAGTCTAAATGTCTACATGTATTCCAATATATGAACATACCATAATTTAACATTTCTTTATTTATTATGCATTATAATGCTTTGATAGTAAAGACTCACATGTTGGACTTTTATATACATAAATATTTATCTTCATCTCCAAGTTCCTTAAGACAGTTTCTTGGAAATACAGTTGCTGACTGAAAGATCATGAACAGTTTTAGAACTCTTCATCCATATTGCCAAATTGATTTTCAGAAAGGACATGCCATTTTATGCTATCTACAGCATAGCTACAGAGAATCCATCTCATCAGACTCCTGCCACCAGAGCATAAGAGAAAATGATCCCAGCATATCATATAGTCTAATAATGTCTGTTAGCTTTCACTTATATTAGTAATAATAGGTTATGCTTCATACTAGCCTTTAGATACAAGCAGGTGCTGAGCTTAAAAGGATTGAATGTGAAAGATACTGACTTATGGGAGTGTGTGCAAAGGCCATAATCCTCAAAATCTGACATCCCTTAGCCTTACACAATCCAGACACTTACGTGTCTTATTCTTAAAATGTCTGTTATTTCACCCCATTAAAATATAGCAGGAAGGCAATAAAAGATTAATTTCCTAATAAACATTTAAGTGCCACTACATACAGGAAGGAGTAGCAATAAAACTTGATTTTAAGACAGTTATGAACTGCAGCTAACTGGCCTAGTGGGGACTTTGAAACAAACAAACAAAAATTACATAGCATAAGAATTTAAACCCCCTCTCTGAACTGAGAGGGCAGTTAGTTACCGGCAAGAGCTGTGGAGTCAATCATAACTTTGTAAGCCTCCTTATAGCCATGAAAACTTATTGCTGTGTAGTAATAAAGCGAGCATCAGATTTACCAGCTAGAAGGCTGCTATAGTTAATATATGTGCCCTACTCAAAGGCCAGCAAGGGCAGGGGTTGTTAAGGTTTTGATAAGTAGCGTAATTGGGCCACCCAGCAGTTGCCCAGAATGACTTAAAATAGCCCTCAATTCTATAGAGCAGTTGGGCTGATTCTGAAAGGGCAGAACAATAGGAAAAGTCAGGCCAAAAATACAGCCCAGGAGGTTCTGGGTGTCTTCATTGGGGGCACTACTGGTGCTATTTCTAAACCTTAATATGACCCCTCATCTAGCATTTGGGGAAGTGAGATCTGACAGCATCCATGGTTTTAACATAAGTTTTATAGGAGGTGTCCATTCAGCAAATTTGAGTGACTATTAGGTGCTGACAATTGGGGGGATACTGTATCTCGTAAGGCAATGGCCTCTGATCTCAAGGAGTTCACCTTCTAGTAAGGTCAAAGATTACAAACACAATTATACTACAAGATAATTCTATATAATATCAGTTTCCATGAAGTGCAGAAGGTGAATAAACCACCTTAAGTTTTCACAGAGAAAGAAGCATCTGACCCAAGTCTTGGATAAATGGGAACTTAACAATGCGGAGAAGCAGAAAAGGGTTCTTCTAAACAGTGAAAACAGCATATGTAATTGCACTATGCATGAGAGGACAAAGTATTTTCTGGTAACTACGAGACATGTCAGTATTAATTAGAGCAAAAAATAAGAGAAAGGGCATCTGGAGTTTTGGACTGGGGTCAAAAAAATGCCTCTTCGGGACTTCCCTGGTGGCACAGTGGTTAAGAATCTGACTGCCAATGCAGGGGATACGGGTTCGCGCCCTGGGCCAGGAAGATCCCACATGCCGCGGAGCAACTAAGCCCATGCGCCACAACTACTGAGCCTGAGTCTAGAGCCCTTGAGCCACAACTACTGAAACCCACGTGCCTAGAGCCCGTGCTCTGCAACGAAGGGTAGCCCCCGCTCGCCGCAACTAGAGAAAGCTCACGTGGCAATGAAGACCCAACGCAGCCAAAAATAAAAAATTTAAAATTTTTTTTAAATGCCTCTTCCTCCATAACTCAAGTAGCATTCTTTACCTCAGCTACCTGTTAAGTGGAAAAAACACCGACATAAATGAGATGCTTGATCGATTGAAAAAGGGACCTGAGTGCTGTTGTAGTAGCTAGTTTAATAGTCTGTTTATTTGTCTACTCCTTGTTATTATACTGTATATAGATTGTATGATTTACGTAGACCAAACAGCAGGAAAATCACTGGGGGGAAGTGAAGTCTTAATATGAAATGCATACAATTTGCTTTGTGAATTTAACAAATTCCTTATCCCTCCTTTTGCCTCTAAAAGAGTTGGGAAGTGTCTAACTGATCTTGCTCAGCCCAACAATTAATCCTTTGATAGTTCTAATAGCCTGTATCTAGGAGCCTTATATAACCATGTCATTTGCTCAGTAGAGGGGAAGGAATGTTAGATAGAAATAAAATATTCTGGCCTTTTTAACTTCTAGTATTTCATTCTCTCTATTCTAAAACTAAACTCTCCACCCAATTCTGGACCTTGCTGTTCATGAAGCTACATCTTTTATACAACCCCATTTAAAACAACGATTAATAAATTTATTTGTATTTCACAGTCTGGGATGGCATTCATATTGCTTTTCACACTAAACTCAAACAACATATTTTAAACTACAAAGACCTACATCAGGCTGTAAAATATGACTTAACATTTAGCCTTTGGAAAAGAAGATTGAACAGAAGGAAAATTCATGAATTTATTTATTGTTTTTTGCCCCATGTTAGCCTCTTATTTTGCTGCCGGTAAGGTATATATTATCCATATATCAGCTGTTATTTAGCTTACATTCTGAGATAAATATTTCTCTGACAAGCTTTTATGGTGCCACAGAATTGAATTTTTATAGACAAATAAGTGTTTTAAGAATGAGAATGACATCATAGGAAGGAAACTAAACAAAGTTGGGAAATCCAGGTTCAAGTTCTGGGTTTGCACATAACCAGCTGTTTGTCCTTGGGTATGTTGCTTAACCAAGAGCGCTTGTCTTTAGTATTTATTTCTTTAACAAGAGATTTGAACTAGAAGACCTCTAAATTCACCAAATATATGGCCTGACTTTTTTGGAACAATATTGATTTCAAATCTCTTGTGACTTCAATGTTTGTAAATAAAAAATATCTCATATTACAATGTTTAAGGGCTCTTTTCACACCTGGAAGTATTGTAGAAATCCTTTATTAAATTAAGTGATTTGGTCTTGATTTGGAAAATATAGTCCTACCATATCTTTATTCTTTTCCCATACTAAAATTATGTGATTCTAGGATAGATCCAGAGCAGCATCCCATTTCATATCTACTATGCCACTGCCTTCTCAAGCCATTCCTCTCCTATATTTTCAGCCATTTTTCCATTTAACTTTTCTACTTAAACAGTAATTATCTTCAGAAGTACATAGTTTATCTTTTTCTAAAGTTAATATAAATTATTTTTAACTTGTGATGATTTTTGTTCAGGACAGCTAGATTGAATGCTTACTCTGTGTAATATTTGTGGGGTTTAGTTACAATTTTCTAGGGGATTTGCCTTTATTTTCTCTGTGTTCCAGGTCTTGCCTGAAATTTAGAAGCCCCTTTCTTCCCCTTCCTTTCTGGTGCTGTCTATCAGTGGTGGTGATCACCTCTGAGGAAGAAAAGCCCACTTGCACTGACCATGGAGAACACTCAGCATCTCTGCTTGATTGTGACAAGGGCAGTTTTTGGATGGATCATGAAATGCTTCTAAAGTAGCCAAGAGTTAACTTTCGTAACCTTTTTATATAATAAGCATGTTACCACCAAGGTAACTTACCCAGTGAAATCAACTACATAGTGGAATCACATTATTTACACATTTAACTTATATGCAAATACAACTCTACTAAAACACAGAGTGAGAGAGAAAAATAACATTTTACATAGTGCATGCACATTCAGCCTTCCTTTTCAGTGAGTCCTAGGCAATGAATGAAATTAAATCTGAAGCAGTCAGTTCATATTGGTGAAAGCTATAGAGAGAATGTGAGGATGGTTTTAAAGGTCTCCTAGTAATTGATAAATGTTCAGATGGCCAGGCAACTGGGTGGGAGAACTTCCTTGTCATTTACAAGGGTTTTTGAAGGTTGTTGAGAAGCTACACTTAAAAATCAGAGAAACTGACAAAATCCTCTACAAAGAAAGACATGAAGAGAACAAGTTGAGACTTTTGTAAATTTACTAAGTATTCAAAGGAGTGAAACACCTGATTGATTAAATTTCTGAGTGTTCTTTATGGGTTTTCAGTGGTTATTTTTACCATACACTATTACCCCCTTACAACCTGTCCCATAAGTAAGATGCTGACTATTGTACAGATACAATAGTATCTATTGATTTAGTTTGCTAGTATAAATTAAGATAATGGGTAATTTCATTATGAAGCCAATTCGTGGCTGATAACTCCATTTTTTAAAAATGTGGGCATGAACTTCTTCCTCGCAGTAGAAATCTTTGAATTTAAAATCTAGATTCTAGGGAATTCCCTGGTCCAGTGGTTAGGACTCAGTGCTTTCACTGCCATGTGCCTAGGTTTGATCCCTGGTCAGGGACCTAAGATCCCACAAGCCATGTGGCATGGCCAGTAATAATAATAATAATAATAATTTTAGATTCTATAATAAAATGACTATTTCTTGACCATCCTAGTAATTTATGCCATGTACATTATTTTACTTTGTCACTAGGGTTTTTTCCACCCAAATCCACGGCTTACATAATTACTACATTGGGATTGCATAACTAGCTACCAAGTAAAAATCAGTAATTGGATAAAGTGTTCTTTAAAACATTTTTAAAGTTGTACCAAATATGTGAAATACATTTTTTTCTGTGATCACACAGGTGAACATGATTAAAGATGATGGGACAGTTATTCATTTCAACAATCCCAAAGTCCAAGCTTCCCTTTCTGCTAACACCTTTGCGATTACTGGCCATGCTGAAGCCAAACCAATCACAGAAATGCTTCCTGGAATATTAAGTCAGCTTGGTGCTGACAGCTTAACAAGTCTTAGGAAGTTAGCTGAACAGTTCCCTCGGCAAGGTAGGTATTTCAATTTAGTACCTCTTTCCCTCCTCACCTTACTTAAAGAACCTAATGATTTAAAAGGTGTGTCCATTTTATGCTAGAAGGATTTGCCTGTACATAAATTTTACTTTTTGTAATATTGTATGCTTCATAAATTTTTGAGTTTGTTCCTTTAATAATTATGCAGTGTAGCATGTAGAATATTCAGATACATTTTGGTAGTAATATAGAGTGTTGGGAGGTAATTACTTAAAAGGAAAGTGCCAGGATCTGCAGGCCACATTTTATAAACAGTTGATTTGGTATTCACTTCTGACTAATGACAACAAGACGATAATGTTATCACAGAACTATATTTTCATTTAATATTGTTGATTGTGCTATAGATGCAGCAACCATAAGTTCTGAGTGTCCAAGATAGTTCTGATTTCAAATGTGTCTTGTCATCCCTAAAAAATCAGAGCCTATTAGTTCAGTGCTAATACTACAAAGCTAGATAGTTTTACACCAAAAGAGATGGAAAAAATCTTGAATGTTGATTTTTTATTTGGAGAATTAATTAACTATAATGTCTTTATTTAAACTCACCTAAATTATTCCACTTTGCATGTAAGTTTTACCTTCACTACCCATTGAAATTGCCAACCATATTTAGTGTATATCTAATGAAGTTAAACTTTTAATAATTTTAGTATCAAGTAAAAAAATATGGCATTTAGATTAGGCAATATTTATCTTTTTCTGAACAACTATGTAAGATTTGTGTCTAGAACTATGTAGACGGGAAGAAAGGATAAACATTACAGGTGTTTGGTAAGGGTCTTTGTTCTCGATGGCTCATTTTAAAATAAACTTTTTGTAGTGTTGGATAGCAAAACACCAAAACCAGAAGACATTGATGAGGAGGAGGATGATGTTCCAGGTAGGTGACATTTCTTCAGTTTTAAGATTTTTAGCATCCTGTTTATCTCATTTAATTCATTGCATGATCATTTTTCAGTTTTTTGTTAATGGTGAGCTTGTGAATTTAAATGGATTCACAACGATGTGCATACAATCTAATGAAACAGGATAAAAGCCCTCCCGTTCAGAACTTAGAAATTGTCACACAAAGCTCTGCTGCATTTATTAAATTGGAATCTGCCTTTATTAAATTGGAATCATTGTGATTATAAATTTGCATAGTTATTACATTTCTGTAGGAATTATGATTGACATATGAAAATGCTAGTCACCTTAGTTTGCATAGGCAAAAGAAGACTAACATTTCCTTAGGGTTTCTGTTTTAAGCAGATAAATGAAGCATTATTAGTGAAATGCCACCAATTCATTTCTGCCACTTATATGTTTTCAGGCTAATTCTAGTAGCAACAATTTTGTTTTTGTTAGGCTAGAAGTTAGTAATTGCATTTTTACCTCTTTGTCTTTTTGTGTATCTTTAACTTATTTACTTTTTTTTTCAGATCTCGTAGAAAATTTTGATGAGGCATCAAAGAATGAAGCTAACTAAAATTTTTTCTGGTTTTTGGAAGCTGGCATGGACTAGATTTAACAAATCAGCTATGTGGTTCCAAAGTTTTACAGACACGGAGAACATCAGCTGTTACTAGTTCAGTAATATAAATATTTTGTATATTAATAATGCTGTTTGTTCAGCATTTTTCGATCATTTGATTTTGCATTTTGCACTTCCTCCCAGGATCTATTCTTTTGGTCAAAATACGAAGTGTTGGTGCAGTTTGAGGGTGTTTTGGGTTTTGATTCTTGGTTTTTTGTTTTGTTTTTTGTTGGGGTATTTTTAGTGTGTGTATGTGTATGTATGCGTGTGGGTATGTGTGTATACAGTGGAGAGCAAATTGGAAAACAGTTTTATTTATCCTCCTCCTTACCCCAGTAGAAATAAAACAAATCTTTACATTTGTTACTTTTTATTTTTTCTAATGATGCACAGAATTAATGAAAAGTGAGTATCTTGGATTTCAAATCAGGAGATTTTACCCTTGGAGGTTTGGTTTTAATTTGCTTCGTTAACATATTTCTCATACATTTTTCTGGGTTTAAAATGTCTTGAGATATTTTGTCACCAGCTTCATGCTTGCATAATGGGTAGCATATCTTTGGTGCAGTTGCCTTGGATTCACTTACCTAGTTAGACCCAGAGGAATTTCTTCTACTAGTTTTTGTCCTAAATGCCTTGTTTTCTCCCCTTTTGGTCTTTAAATGGCCTGGTTAGCCTTTAGTAATGCTCTTCCTCATCTTCCATCTAGCCTGAGAAGGATGTTCTCCATATAGAGTTAAGTGAGTGCCTAATCCCTCTTTTTGTAAGATTGTTCCCACATCTTGAGGAACAACAGCTCCATCTTCAACTTCTTATTCTTTTGATTTTACAGTTTGGTAGATTTCAAACTGGAATAGCTAGCATGTGCTTGCTAAATAATTTTATGCCAGCCTTATCCTGTATCCTAGCTGTTCTTAATAGCAGGTGCAAAAATGCCTCTTTTTCAGCAAGGTTGAAATTGGGAATGTCCTTTTGAATCAGAAAAAATGGGCCATAGACTCATTCCCCAGCACAAATGGGCATTCTATGAAATGGTACTGGCCCCAGGAGGATTTCTTCAACCACTCCTCTACTCTTGGCCTTGAACCTACCTCTGGATTGGATCTTACTATTGTAGCTGCTCATAGCATCCTCCTGCATGCTTAGAGTAATGCTTTGGGGGAACACTGGTAAAACACAGTATTTATTTTTTCACCTCCTTTCAGAGGACTTGGAGGTAAGTTGCATTCATTCATTGACGCTTCCCTCTTGCCGTCTTATAAAAGCTTGCACTTTGTTATATCAGCATTTGTTATAGCCAATATTTAAGGATAAGATTTAGAAAGTCTGTCATGGCCCATCATCAAACTATGGCTTAACCTTGCAGCATATCAACTTTTGTTTCAAGCTAGATATCTTTATTTGATATCTCTAGTGCAAGACCAACATATCAAGAGATCTATAGACATGAAGGCAAAGGTCTTGTATTTTTTTCCATCCAGACACCTCAATTTATTTTATACATTTGTTGATTTTTCCTGTTATGTTTTATATATATGGAGTTAACTACAAAATAAAATAACAGTAATAAAATAACAAAAGAGGATAATATTTCCTCTTGTGCTTCTCTTTTTGTTGTCTACAGAATTTACTTCTTTTGTATTTTCCCTCTGCTCCTCACCCCCAAATGAATTTCAACCTAGTCTTTTTTTGAAATTATGCTTCATCCATTGTTAGATCAGTAGCTCTACATGGTCTACATAGTCCAGAATGCTGTTCCTCTGACTGTCCCCAAAGGGCACATTGTAGGGCAGAGAGAGTTAAGGGGACTTCAGTGGTTAGGGAAACTTAAGAGGTAGTATACGAAATGGGGGGAAGAAGCACTCATGTGGAATTCAGGAGAATTGGATCCTAGTCCAAACTCTGGCATTAACCGTATGACCTTGGGCAGGTCACCTAACCTAATGACTTTGAAATTCATCATCAGTCAAATGAGATGTTTCCAAATCAACATTTCTTCTGCTCCTGTGGTTCTGTGGATCTCATTTCTGAAAATCCTCAAGGAGGTATTTTATCATTTTTTCAGAAATGTCTTTTTATCAATACTCATAAAAGTTCTTTGTGTGTATATACTTCTTCCTCTTTTACATTTTGATCATATTTTAACTGCTCACCCAGAGGAGCTCTGGTCAGTATTTCCTTTTATCCTGTTGACAATAACTCTTAATGGCTGCCCTCTCTTGTATACAATGAGCCAATACTCTTTTTTGTTTTATATTTTCATACCTTCCCTTTTCCTGGACAAAGCATATCGAGATCCTGACTCAACCCAAAGAAATGTTCCTGCCTTCAGAGTGAGTAGGCATAGGTAAGAATGTGGATGAAACGTCTATAAATTGTAGTGTTCTTGGCATAAATATGAATTATATAGTTTTTTTAAATATATGAAGTAGTTACTAAATATTTACTTTTTACTAAGGTTATGTATTTATTGCCAAGATAACTATAGAAGAATTTTCTGGGGAAATTCACCTTAAAATATTGAGATAATTCAAGAAATGTCTATAGAAAGTTGATTGATAATCTTAATTTTTATGGTTAGTCCTTTCAGTTTTTATAAAACTCCTCATTTATCTGTTTTGGGGAAGCCCAAAGTAAGTAGTTGGGACCTTATATTTGTTTTACCCTTATTTTTCCCATTAAGTAATGGTTTAAGAATACATCAAGCATCTTGATCTGTTGTTAAATAACTAGTATTTATGGGATTCCATTAAATTAATTTTAATAAGCCTACCAGGTTCTTGTGAAAACCCATATTGGGATGTGTTTGATTTGTTTCTTTGTTTTAATTCAGTGTTTAACCCTAAGGGTGTTATATATCCATAAATACAATATTATGAGAAGACATAGTGTGGGATAGGGACTTCTCTGGTGGTGCAGTGGTTAAGAATCCATCTGCCAATACAGGGGACATGGGTTCGATCCCTGGTCTGGGAAGATCCCACATGCCACGGAGCAACTAAGCCTGTGTGCCACAACTACGGAGCCTGCGCTCTAGAGCCCATGAGCCACAACTACTGAAGCCCTCACGCCCTAGAGCCCACGTGCCGCAACTATTGAAGCCCATGTGCTCTAGGGCCTGCGTGCCACAACTGCTGAGCCCATGTGCTGCAACTACTGAAGCCCATGCACCTAGAGCCCGTGCTCTGCAACAAGAGAAGCCACCGCAGCCAGAAGCCTGTGCACCGCAACAAAGAGTAACCCCTGCTCACCACAACTAGAGAAGGGGCACATGCAGCAATGAAGAACCAATGCAGCCAAAATTAATTAATTAATTAAAAAGACATAGTATGGAATAGTAGGAAATGCACAGGTTTTTAGATAGAGGTCAGTTCCATTACCTACTATGTTATAATCTTTCCAGTAGGGCTACTGTAATGCACAACTTGGGGGGTTCACCATTCATATTTGTTGTGTCCCAGGGGTTGCCATTTTCATAGAGTATAATGTGACTAATGCCCCTATATTAGTGTAATGATGGCCTTGCTATCTGAGCCTGTTTTCCTCCACTGTAAATGGTCCCTGGATCAAACAGGGTTCCTTAGAACTCCCTAAATGATTAAGGTGAAGATGAAAGATAATTAAAGTGTGTGATCTCCCAAGCCATGGCAGAAAGGAGCTTATATTTCTAGGCACAGCAAAGCTCCATTCTACACTGCCACCCTCCTCTTCAGTCTGTATTGTTCTGCCACACACAGTTTGCCTAGATTATCATAGCCCCCTTACTGGGCTTGCTTATGATTCACTTGCTCCAATCCATCCTTTACATAGGAGCCAAACAACGTAAATTTCATATCTGAGCATGTCATAGCCTTACATTTATCTCCAACATACCACTCTGTTTCAAGCTTTCATCCTTTTGCACATATTTTTTTACTGTAGTACAATATTGAGATTACTTGATTTTCTTTATAGTTTTCCCATCTAGATTGTGAGCACCTTGATGGCAGATAGTGTGTCACACATCTTTTACTCCCAATATCTAGCATAGTGACAACATGTAGTCTACTTACAATCATAATAACATTTACTGAATGTGATCTCATTTAACACAGTTCGGTGGAGCAGATATTATGGTCTCACTTTTAAAGTGGAGCAAAAATGGTTTAGGGAAGTACCAACACAACTAACAGGTGAGAGAACCAGAATTCTAATCTAGATCTATCAAATTCCAGAGTTTAAATTCTAAACATCACCCCACACCATTCAACAAATACTTATTGAAATAAAAATTATGTTTTTGTGGCCTCTAGATGGATATCCTCATCAAATATCACTCAATATTAGCCTGAAAGTCAAATCTTAAGGATTACTCAGTAAGTTTGAGGGTTTTTTTACAAGTAGGATTTGTAATTTTTGTATATATTCAGGAGTTGAGTTTTATGAACTTAATAATTGGGTATTTTGCAAACCTGGGATGGGATCTTTGACGGTGGTATATGGGCAAAAATTCTTAGGTTACATATGTTAATCTTCTTGGCACTGGTGTTTGCTCTCAAAATTTTGCATCCTTTTAGGGTTACCTTGTTAAAGAAAAATATACATTTGAACAAGGTGTGATGAATTTATCCTGCAGCCACACTTTTTTTTAATGTGTTTAAATCAAACTAGCCCGCAAAAAAAGTAGAACTAATAAATGAATTCAGCAAAGCCGCAGGATACAAAACCAACACACAAAAGCAACTGCATTTCTATACACTGACAATGAACAATCCAAAAAGTAGATTAAGAAAATAATTCCATTCACAATAGAATCAAAAAGAATAAAATACTTAGAAATAAACTTTATCAAGGAAGCAAGAGACTTGTACATTGAAAACTACAAAATATTGTTAAAATAAATTAGGATATAAATAAATGAACGGACATCCCATATTCATGGATTGGAAGACTTAATGTTATTAAGATGTAAATACTACCCAGAGAGATCTACTGAGTCAATGCAATCCCTATGAAAACCCTAATAAAGTTTTTTGCAGAAATAGAAAAACCCATTCTAACTGTTGATGGGAATGTAAATTGGTGCAGCCACTATGGAAAACAGTATGGAGTTTCCTTCAAAAACTAAAACTATAACCACCATATCATCTAGCAATTCCACTCCTGGATATATATCCGGAAAAAATAAAAACTCCAATTCAAAAAGATACATGTACCCCAATGTTCATAGCACTATTTACCATAGCCAATATGTGGAAGCAACCCAAGTGCCCATCAACATATGATTGGCTTAAGAAGTTGTGATACATATACAATGGAATATTAGTCATAAAAAAGAATAGAATATTGGCATTTGCAGCAACATGGATGGACCTAGAGAATATTATGCCTAGTGAAATAAGTCAGAAAAAGATAAATACTATATGATATCACTCATATGGAATCTAAAAAATAATATAAGTGAATCTATATACAAAACAGAAACAGACTCAGACATGGAAGACAAACTTAGGTTACCAAAGGGGAGTTGGGAGAGGGACAAATTAGGAGTATGGGATTAGTAGATACAAACTACTATACATAAAATAGATAAGCAACAAGGATTTACTGTATAGCACAGGGAATTATACCCAATATCTTGTAATAACTTAGAATATACTCTGAAAAAAAAAGTCTACTATGTTATACAGCTAACACAATATTGTAAATCAAATATACTTCAGTATTTTTAAAAAGTTATAAAAAGAACATAAAGTATTCATGCTAAGGAAAACAAAGAAAAAACTCGTTCTAAAATTCATATGGAATTTTAAGGGGTCCCAGATATCCAAAAAGTAAGAAAAAGAAAGTTGGAGGACTCATTTCCTGATTTCAAGACTTACTACAAAGTTACAGCAAGCAAAACAATGTACTGGCATAAAGACAGACATACAGAGCAGTGGAATAGAGCAGAGACCCCAGAAATAAACCTTTATATGTATGGTCAAATGATTTTTGACAAGTGTACCAAGACCATTCGATGGGGAAAGGATGGTCTTTTCAACAAATGGTGTTGAAAGAACTGTATATCCACATGCAAAAGAATGCGGTGTACTTTACACCACAAACAAAAATTAACTCAAAATGGATCAAAGACCTAAACATAAGACTAAAACTATAAAATCCTCAGAAGAAGACACAGAGGGAAGCTTCATGAGTTTGAATTTGGCAATGATTGCTTTGATATGACACCAAAAGCACAGCCAAAAAAGAAAAATAGGTAAATTGGAGTGTATCAAAATTAAAAACTTGTGTATCAAAGGATACTATCAGGAGAATAAAAAAGCAACTCACAGACTGGGAGACAATATTTGAAAATCATATATCTGATAAAGGATTAATATACACAATATATAAGTAACCACAACTCAACAAAAAACAGCCTAATTGAAAAATGAGCAAAAGACTTGAATAGATATTCCTCTAAAGAAGATATACAATAAGCCTATGAAAAGATGTTCAACATCACTAATCATTAGGAAAATGCAAATCAAAACCACAATAAGCTACCACTCCACACCTATTAGAATTGCTATTAAAAACAAATGTTGGCAAGGATGTGGAGAAATTGGAACCCTTATGCATTGT